TGGTTCCATTGGTCCTCCTGTCTGTTCTTATGCCAAAACCAGGCTGTTTTCAGCACTGTAGCTCTGTAGTAGGGTTTGAAGTCAGGGATTGTGATGTCTCCAGAAGTTCTTTTATTGTACAGGATTGTTTTGGCTATCCTGGGTTTTTTGCTTTTCCATATGAAATTGAGTACCATTCTTTCGAGGTCTTTAAAGAATTTTGCTGGGATTTTGATGGGCATGAATTGAATCTGTAATGTTCTTAGTTTCTTGAAGATTTTTTTTAAAATAATCTTTTAGTAGTCCTTGCTTGCTGCAGAGATTACCATGTCCTAGTAAAAGGAACCAGAGTAAATAGACAAACCTTCAGTAGTATTCTGGTGTGAGGTATGGGCAGAGAAGGCTTTCTATATTTGTATTAAGTCTTAGAACTTAAGTGTTTCTGTGACTATGAATTTTACAAATGTTTCTCCGTTTTTAACCATCCCTCTACCTCCCTTAAGGGGGAAAACCGGGTGTACTGATAGAAGTTATAGTCCCCCAACCCCCAGCACTAATAAAACTCGAACATGTCAAGGTATGGTTAGCTAGTTCCTCCCGAGGGCAGGACTTGTTAAGTACAGAATGCTTTGAGTGGTTCTAAGATTGCTGCCAAGCCTTACAATCAGAGTTGATTCCCAGGCTCCATCCACCTGGTCTAACGAAAAAACCAGCTCTGACAGATAGACACACAAATGTGCACCGTAGTACACCCTTCCCCACGGAATCAATAACAACAGACAAAAACAGATGTTCTAAGTACTCTCTGGTGGTTTCTTTTGTGAATCCCTGGGGACTATTCTTCTAAATTCTCTGAGGACCTGCTAGAGTTTCTAGAGGTAAAATTCTCAACTGTGAGGGTCCTCCTGGGAGTTTTTCCCTCGGCCTGGTCTACACTGACCTATTAGGTTTCCCAGCTCTAGTTTACCCAGCTCTAGTTTAGTTGCTTACTCTGATATAAGTTAAGTCATATTTCTCTCTTTTATTTGCTTCTCTAGTGTGTTGGGGAGCAGCTTGTTTGTGACTACTTTTCTGGTGATTTTCAGGCTGTTATGTACACTTTGTGTTTCATTTCAGAGTGAAGACTTAAAAGCTCTTTAGGTTGGACTACAAAGTAGGAATCCTAATGTCTTAGACATTTACTGATAGAAACTACATCTTCTAACTTTGGTATAATGTTTGCTTTTTTATGGATTGTTAAGAAAATATCTTGTTTTTTTTCGTTTGATTTCTTCTTTGTTGCAGAGGTTAATTAGAATTCTTTTAGTGCCAGGCATTGGTGGCGCAGTCCTTTAATCCCAGGAGGCAGAGACAGGTGATCTCTGTGAGTTCAAGGCCAGTCTGGTCTTCCAGGACAGGCTCTAAAGCTACAGAGAAACCCTGTCTCCCCCCCCCCAAATAGAATTGTTTTACTTTGTTTTGAAATATCTTCCATTTATCTTGGTTATTTGTTTTTAATTTACTTTCTTTATGTCACTTCCTTTAAATTTATTGACTCTTCTGTTGTTTTGTTTATTTCCTAACTCATTTTTTTACTATTTGTTCATCCAGTTATTGTTGAAAGATAGGTATGAATAGCTGAGGGTTTGAAGGTAATGGGAGGAACGAACTATGCAGGTGAAACATATCAGGAAGGGAGACTCTAGCCGGTTACTCTGGGTTGAACGTGGGTGGGTAAATAGGTATACACACAAGCTGACAGAAGTATGCACAAAGGCCAGAAACACACACACAGGTAGAGAAAGAAGCTCTGTCTGTCTGGATCTTACTATGTAGACCATGCTGGCCTTGAAGTCACAGAGACAGGATAAGGTTCTGTCTTTCCACTGGCTTCCAAGGTTTAATCTCAAGTCTCCATTTCTGTTTTTTGAATTAGGATAATTTCTATAATGGGTTCTCCAAGTTATCTAGGGAAAATCTGTGGCTCTTTTGAGACTTTTGTCTGTAGTGTGAATTCTAGTTTGTCTTAATAATAAAAACACAGAGTCAGATATAGGGGTAAATGCTGACAGAGAAGTAGAGCAGCCAGCCCCTAGTTCTTCTACGACATCCTTCCCACTGAATAGGGTGTCCTATCTCTACTAGTCCTCAGTCTGCACTCCTATCCTCCTCCTGCCTTATATTCCTCTCTGCCCAGCCATATCCCTTCCAGTCTACACCTTCTTAGTGTTGGAATTAAAGGTATGCGACTAGATACTGGGATTAAAAGTGTAAGCCACCACTGCCTGGCTCTGTTTCTCTTTGAGACTGGATGAGTCTAGTGTAGCCCAGGGTGGCATTGAATTCACAGAGGCCTCTGCCTCCCCAAGAGCTGGGATTAAAGGTTTGTGCTACCACTGCCTGGCCTGTGGCTGACTAGTATCCTGCCCCTAACTCTGATTCTCAGGCTAACTTTATTTGTTACAGCACAAACGAAATATCATATTTGTCAAGTATTTTACACCTACTCATGATTGAAGAAATAGCCCTTCTCTGTTGTTACTTTCCAATTCACCAGCATAAATGACAGAGCCTTGTACAACAATATGACACAAATACAGATTTTAAATAAAACCATAACTGAAAATTTTGGTTCCCTAGTACAGAGTCATTTCTTCTTTATAAATTTAAGGGTTTTGTTTAAAGTAGGAAATAATTTGTACCTAGTATAGCAACTTAGTAGTTATATTAATGTCATATTTTAGCAGCAGCCTAGTGACTCCAGGCTGTGAAACAAAGCATATTCTTAATTACTCATTAAATTGCCTGTAAATCAGAACGACCAATGTTTGCACGCATTAATTGATTCTTATTACAACCAAATAGCCAGTTTTCTTTCTAGTGGAAAGGATAGAGAGACTGTATTATGGGGCTGGGAAGATCTCAGTAGGTAAGAGCTCTTGTCAGAGAACCCAGATTTGGTTCCTAGCCCCAAACTTGATGATAACAGCCACCTGTAACTCTTAGTTCCAGAAGATCTGACACTCTCTTCTGACCTCTGCAGGCGCTGCATGTTCATGGTAAATAGACAAAATACCTATAACACATAGAATAAAAATAAATGAAGCCTTTAAAATTACATTTGTAAATGTTAATTTAAAAAAGGACTGGGGCTGGGCGGTGGTGGCGCACGCCTTTAATCCCAGCACTCAGGAGGCAGAGGCATGTGGATCTCTGTGAGTTTGAGGGTTGCCTGGGCTACAAGAGCTATTCCAGGACAGGCTCCAAAGCGGCAGAGAAACTCTGTCTCAAAAAAAAAAAAAAAACAAAAAAAAAAAACCAACAACAAAAGGGACTGGGGTTGCTAGAGACAGGGTTCAGTGAGTAAAAGCACAAGTAGTGTTTGTAGAGGATTTGGGTTCAGTTTTTAGCACCCACGTGGTGACCTTGGGTTCATTACTCAACCACCCTTAGGATGGTAGCTCAGAACCAATTCCAGGGGTATCTGACCTCTTCTTTTGAACTCAAGCATGCACTTGGTGTACCACAGACGTACATGCAGGGAAAACATTCGTATACACTTAAAAACCAGAAACGGCTATATGCCTTCAGTCGAGTGTACCCTAGCCACCTTTCTTTGACTTTGACAGCATACACAATGGGATCATTATAAGGAAGGAAGGGGTTTTTTTTTAGATCTTAGTTTCAGTGTAGAGTTGCTTGGTCTCATTGCTTTAACCTGCATTGGTAGAGGTCATCTGTTCATCTCAAGGTGAAAAGGGGAAGTTAGCCCCTGAGTGTCTTCTTCACAGGCACGTCCTTGGTGCCTAATTCCACTAGGCCCCACACGTAGGTTCCACTGCCTTGACTTGTTAGCCAGGTCTTAGCATTGGGTCCTTGGATATATTCAAGATCTAAACTCTAGCAAGTATCAGGGATCTGCCTGCCACTGCCTCCCAAGTGCCACCACTACCCAGCAAGATTTGATTTTCAAAACATTTCTCTTTGTTTTTTCTTTTGAACATTGATTTTGCAAAAATCACCAGTCATTTTTAAAACTGATTTTTTATTTTTCAATTTCAAGTTTATTCTCAGACTAAGTGTTGCATAGAAATTAATACTTGTGTATCTTTAGATTTTTTAATTTCACATTACGTTTGATAACAGGTATATCACAAAGATTTATTCAAAATTTATTACTAGTTATGTTCAAGGTAGTGTATTTAAACACATCGGATACTTGTGAATATACTGGTGATATAAAGTCTCTTGCTCCTGAGGGATGCTATGAATCGTGTTAATTAGCATACATCTAGTTTGTGTACATCCACACTCACTTTATTTGCCTTTATTTGGCCATACATTGCATTTAAGATGATTTCTAAACCCAGAAACTGCTTGTCTACACAATCTTTATCTTATTTTCCTTTAGTCATATGCACATCATATAGCTTTACTTCAGTTTGCAGAGAAATGATTTGTGTTTCAAATACTGGAACTTTGTTGTTACGTTCTAGGAGGGAGCCTAATGCATGTAGTCCTCTAGTGGATGATGTGCTTTTTGTTCTCTATAACACTGACTACTGTTTTGAACACTAAAGCTTATAATTTCATGGCTAAGCAATAGTATGTTCTTGGTGAAAATAATGCTTGAAAAATGAACACCTTTGGTATTGCTTTTTAAAATATATTAATAAGGTCAAGTATTACTTGCTGCAGCCTTACCTTCAGTCAGTCATCTTATTTATTATAGATACTTTGTTTCAAAGTAGTGATAGGGTAGGGTATGGAAGCCCAACATGTGAAAGGCCCTGGGGTTGATTGTGAAGATGGTAAACCAGCAAAAAAAAAGAAAGAAAGAAAATAGATTTTATGGTATGATTTTCTTTGGTAGAGCCTGACTTTTTTAGAATGGAAATGTTCACATAAGTTCAGTGCTTATTTATACTGTTTACTTTAGCCAAATATAATTAGTTCTTTTTTTCCTTTTACTTCCCCCTTCTTTCTTTTTTTTCCCTTCTTTTTTTGTTTTTTTGTGTGTTTTTTTTCAATCAAAATGTTAGACTTACACAAGCACTAGCAACAACTCTATATCTGGATCATTGAAGCGCTTGGAAGATACTGCAGCACGATTTACAAATGCAAATTTCCAGGAAGTCTCTGCACACACCTCTAGTGGAAAAGATGTTTCAGAGGCTAGAGGGTCAGAGGGAAAAGGGAAGAAATCTTCAGCTCACAGCTCAGGTCAAAGGGGAAGGAAGCCTGGTGGTGGACGAAATCCAGGAACAGCTGTGTCAGCATCTAGCCCCTTTCCACAAGGTATTATATTTTAGTAAAAATACTTATTTTGATAGTAGCCAGTAGTTGTTAATATTTTGTAAAAGAATTCATTTTTTTCTTATGACTAAGGATTATTCTAGATTATGTAAGTAGTTGGTAGTGTAGGATTACTTCCAAAAGTAGTGTTTCATTTTAAAGTGTTTCTAGAGCTTTTGTTCTGTTTATTGAATGATTTATGTTTTTTAAACTGTAATTTTAATGTTTAAATGGCTATAGAATAGGGATCAAGATTGGGGAGAAAAAGTCGTCCTCCCCCCAGAATAGGTATTCTTTCTGTAAGTTGTTTTTATTTACTTCTCCTAATAACATTTTATGTTTTAGTAAGTAGATGAGAATTAAGTAAATTTTATTGAATCCAAGTAGGTATTAGTGATACTATAAGCAGTGCGTTAATTATAAAGCTTGAAGTAGACTTTTACTCAACAGCCCTATGTTCTATGATCAGCCTGCTGTATCAACAGGATGCCCTATATATTTGAGTTTTACATAAATGGCAAATCGTATTTTAGTGTGTTTCCCAAATACTGTTTGGTTAAAGAATGAAGTTCAATATTAATTGGGCATGTGTAATTTTATGGAAAATAGGAACACTGTTACATTTCAAAGTATATACACTAATGTTCTTGCTTTATATGTCATTTTAAATGTCAACACAAATACCTTGAATAACAGAAATGTTACAATTTGAAAGAAACCAAGTTAAGTAGCTTGTTCACTTGTGTGTCTGTTGTTCCCTTAGAAATGAATGAAAGGACTGTCATTTATCTTTGTTGAAGCATTTGTTAGACTTAAATCCAAGGTCTTAATGGTAATATATAAATAGTAGATTCTTAATCTGCTGACCTTTCATTAAAAATATATTCATGTATGTCATAATAGGAATAATTTGGAGCTACAAGTATAAGCCAGGTATATGTATGTGAATGTATTTCTTTTTGGACAGAAAGTTCAGTAGGCATAGATAAAACAAAATGCCAAAGTTACTATTTTATTTAAATAAAAATTAGTGTTATTTTTATACCACTTTGAAAATCAATCAAACCTTAATTAACCTTAAATGTAACTTCATTTACATGTTAAATGAATGTTGTATTAGCAGAAGTCAATTAATCTCATTAAAATTGTTTATTTGAGTTTTTGAGATGCAGCCCAACATGGCTTTAATATCCTGTGTGGGTTCTGATCATCCTTTCTCAGTCCTCCAAGTGTAGGGATTATAAGTGTGGGTCACCAGACCTGCTGTATTCTTAAGTTTTTCTTTGTATGAAGTGCTATTCAATTTTGAAGAGGTAGCTCCTGTGGTTTTGGAACTTTGTAATATTAAAGATAGGAAAAATGTTATAGTTATGTGAAGTAACCAATAAAATGTTGAAATATGAAGCTAGGGTATTTAAGATGGCCTTGTTTTTTTATTAACTTTTTATTACCTGTGGATTATAGAAAATTTAAATATACCAATAGAAGTATTTGATATTTTTAATATTGTGTATGTGTGCATGTGTGTACATGTGTGTGTTTTAGTGTGGGATTGAGAGTAGGGTCTCCCATATGTTGTGCAAACTCTACAGTTAAGACTTAATGAAACAGTAGATATCTGAGCTGTCTGAGCTGAGTCTGTTTAATTTAGTTGCTTATTTCATTTGGCAAACAAGGAAAGAGTATTCTGAAATAGGGGTGATGGAAACTTTTCTCCCAGGGCAATTTTCTACTAGGCACATAAGGATTTAGAGTTTCTTAAACTGCATAATGGCAGGGGTTGCTAAGTGTTTTGACTAGAGTGAGGAGAGAATAAGCAGTTGGAAAAGAGGCAAGGAAGAGCTACCTCTTTTTCCATGATTTTTCATTCTTGTTTTTAGACTTACTTACTTTATGAGTGTTCTGTCTGTGTATGTCTGTGTCCTCTGTGTGTGCCTGAAGAGGTCAGAAGAGGGTATAAGATCCCCTGGAATGGGAGTTACAGATGATTGTAAGTCACTTTATGGGTGCTGGGAGCCAAACTTGGTACTCTGCAAGAGGAACAAGTACTCTAAACTATCGAGCCATCTCTCTACATGGTAATTTCTTTTTAAAAATCATGATTGTTCATTTCCATTATGAACAAAGGACGGTTCCCAATGAGCAGTGGTGGCACACACCTTTAATTCCAGCACTTCGGAGGCAGAAACAGGCGATCTCTGTGAGTTTGAGGTCAGCCTTGTCTATAAAGTGAGTTCCAGGATAGCCAGGACTACACAGAGAAACCCTGTCTGAAAAATAAAACAAAACAGAAAGATCAGGTTAAATAAGACATAGCTAGTGTCTTAGTAATACAGTACAATTCAAGAGTGAGTATGTGATACTGCCTTTGACAAGTGTTCTAATCTTAATTTTAGAGATAAAGTTGATTTCTTGTATCAAACTTTGTTACATAGAGTTATAACCTATGTTTTATAATTTACTTTTGAAACATCCTTTTCTTTTTGATAATTGTGTTATGTCTGTTGGTTAGAGGAACTTTGTGCCCAAGTTTTTTTCCTCCACTACCTTTGGTGTTTTTTGTGTTTTGCTGCAGGCAGTTTTTCAGGAACTCCAGGCAGTGTAAAATCATCTTCTGGGAGTTCAGTGCAATCTCCTCAGGACTTCTTAAGTTTTCCAGACTCAGATCTGCGGAATGACGGTTATTCTCACTCCCAGCAGTCATCATCAACCAAAGATGTACATAAAGGAGAGTCTGGAAGCCAGGAGGGGGGAGTAAATAGTTTCAGTTCTTTAGTGGGTCACCCTGTGGCCTCAACTGTTATTTCACAGCCTAAAAGCTTTGAAAATTCACCTGGAGATTTGGGTAGTTCCAGCCTCCCTACAGCAGGATATAAGCGAGCTCAGACTTCTGGTATAGAAGAAGAAGCTGTAAAAGAAAAGAAACGAAAAGGAAATAAACAAAGTAAACATGGGCCTGGCCGACCCAAAGGAAACAAAAATCAAGAAAATGTTTCTCACCTCTCAGTTTCTTCTGCTTCACCAACATCATCTGTTGCATCAGCTGCAGGAAGTGTAACAAGCTCTAGCCTTCAGAAATCTCCTACGTTGCTCAGGAATGGAAGTCTGCAGAGTCTTAGTGTTGGCTCATCTCCAGTTGGTTCAGGTAGAGATTTGTGCCTTGTTTTCCATTTCATTTCTTCACTATCCTTTCTTTCCCTCGCCAGAAAGTTATGAACAGTTGTTATTAGTTCATTTTGAATTGGTGAGCTACATTTAATTAACATGACATTTCTTATTTTTTATTTATTTATTTATTTTTTTGAGGACAGGCGCTTAATAAATATCCCAGGCTGGCCCGAATCACTCTGTAACCAAGGCTGGCCTCAAACTCTTGTTGGTGGATCAGCCTCCCAAGTGCTGGGTAATTAACATGACACTTTAATTTTTTAAAAAATATTTGTTTATAAATAAAAGATAGGAGCTCATTAAATGGCCCATACTGTCCTGGATCTCTCTGTAACCCAGAATGGCCTTGGACTTTTGGCCTCGTGAATCAGCCTTCCAAGTGTTGGAATTGCAGTGGTCTGTTCCATGACTGGCCAGTTTTCAGGAGGAGATGGCACTGTAGCATATGTATGGAGGCCAGAGGACAACTTGAGCAGTTGATTATCTTCTTTCTTCCACTGTGTGAGTCTCAGGTCATCAGACTTGGAGGCTAACATTTATTTAAACCTTTGAGCCATCTCAACTATTTTTTTCATTTCCTAATGAGAAAAGTGAAAGTATTTTACAATCCTGGCAAAACTAGTGCTAAATATTTAAGCACCAAATAATGTCATGTGTTACTAAATATAGACTAGCTTATCATTCATCTGGTATTTCCCAGTTGTGCTTGTGCTCCACCTGCACACTATGTCTAACACTAAAACCGGATTCACATCTTAACATGGGAACAGTTCTCCATTGACTTTTGGTGTCTTCTTGTTTTGAGCTCTTTTGCAAAACTCATCTCTAATTTTCTCTTTCTCTATAATTGTACACAAATAATGTGAATTACTCTGACTTAAAGTTAGTATTTGTTAGGTACATTTCATGTCGAATGATACCTGAATTGTTTTAAATGTATTTAGAGATTTTTTTTAACCATTATTTTTATCTCAAATTAGAGTTGATTACATAGATTTGAACATGGTCCCCAACCTTGCTTTTATTTTTGATTTTGTAATAACTGTCCTGGTCTTGTTTAGAAGTGACTATTTAGTACACATAAGCCTGAAATTGGCCGTGAATCAGTTATCCATGTCTTGTTGGTGCTGAGATTACAGGTGTGCATCACCTTTTATCATTATTTTTATGACAGTACACATGAATTTATATGTAGTGCTCATGTCACTGGTATGCTTCTATGCAACCTGTAATTTGTGTTACAATTTTAAGTCTTTAAAAATGCTGGACTTGCCTGCTTTATTCATTTTAATGATTTTTGTTATAAGTGTTTGTGTGCCTGGTGGTTTCTGAGGCCAAAAGTATGTGTAGGATCCCTCTGCAACTGGAGTTACAGATGATCGATTGTGAGCTGCTGTGTGGGTGCTGGGAACTACCTGTCCTACATAGCTCTGGCTGTCTCATTGCTCAGAACATTGAAACCCACAGACATTTGCTAGCCTCTGCTCTAGCTGACATCATGCCTCAGCTTTTTTTTTTTTTTTAAAGATTTATTGTTTTTTGATTTTCATTTATGTGTATCTGTGTGGCACATGTATGGGCACCTATGGAAGTCAGAATAGATGAGGGCATTGGATCTCCTGGAGATGAGTTTAACAGGCTGTTGTGAGCTGTCCGGTATAGTTGTTGAATCCAGGTCCTCTGGAAAAACTACAAAAGCTCTTAACTACCAAGCCATCTCTTCAGCACCAACCCTTAACAGTTTCAAGTTTCATTTGTCTGTCACTTTTCTTTTCCTGTGATGAGATAATTGGGTTTCAATAAATCTTGACTGTAAAGCTCTCTGCTAGCTTTGGATTTCTGATGGTTGAAATGAGATTTCAGTTAAGAAACACTATTTTGGATAAGATCAGTTTTATTAGCCCATAATGAGGGAAGGAAGAAATAGTGTATAAAAACAGTTAAATTTTTTCTTTATATTTTATATTGTATATTTTATAAATACAAAATAAAAGAATCTTTAAATGGCTTGTGTATTAACTTCAGTAAGAGGAAGTAAGCAAAAATAACAGTAACCATTCCAAGAAGCATACATATGCAATTCTGTATGAAAACACTGTGTTATCTGTTACGTTAGGTCTCACTAAGTGCATTGTTATTTATATCTCAATTAGTAATAGTTTTATAAAGGGCTATTGATGTCCCTGTTCCAGAGCTGGTAAAACTGAGGTTTTGAGGGTAAAGTTGCCCCATATATCCTGGAGTTTTTTGTTTGTTTCTAATAGATTACTTTGGTGCCTGTGGTTTTGTAAACAGCCCCCAATTTAGTGGAATTTCTAAAATTGTTACATTGCTAGCACTATGCCATGGAGGGGGGTTGAAGGTCAGTCCTCAGTCTTGGTGTTACTGACTTGTGGGATAGTCTTTGTATTCAGTATTTGTCTTTTTTACATGTTTACCAGAATCCCCAGCCCCTCTCATTAGTTGTTAGTAGCACTCCCTCCATAATAAAAATGTCTCTAGACATTGTTAAATGTCCCCAGGAGGCCAAAGTTGCCTCTGGTTCAGAATCACTGTTTCAGAAAGTGGGAACAAAGTTCTTTAAAAAGATTTAAATACATTGCACATTTGAATAAATGTTTATTATTTATGCTTCCCTTGAGACTATAAGGGCCTAGCAGTCAGCCTTAACCTTTTGCTACAAAAAGCAAATTTAAATGCAAGTTTACTTATAAAAATTGGGTTCATACTATTTTAGCAAAAGTTATAATTAAATGAATACCTGACTGAGAATATAAAGCTTAAATTTATTTTTATTAAGGTCTTCACTGAGTCCTGTAATTTTTGAAACATAACCGGAAAATATTTGAATTTCAAAGTTACATTTGAATGCTTCTTTGAAACACATGCCTTTAGATTAATGGAATTAAAAAATAGCTAATTTACAGTTCTCAGAAGAGTTTTTTTTTTTTTTAAAGCTGTTAAGGAGATTTTAGGCATGAAAAGTAATGTTACTTTTAGTGAGCAGAGTTTGTGTTATATTAATTGCAGTAAAAAGCTTAATTCATATTTTTTATCTCTCTATTATATAATCATAATTATCTAAAAGGAATTCCCTTTAGAAGATACTATAGTTTCAAATCAATAAATTATTTAAAATTTTAATAATGTAAATAAATTTTAAGTTGTGCTAAAGCAAACCAAATATGTGTTAAAATAGCTAAAATTACAGGGACAGGGTTTTTCTATGTAGCTTTGGAACTCAGAGGGTTCTGCCTGTCTCCTTATCCCAAGTGCTAAGATTAAAGGCAGGCACTGCCACTGCCTGGCCATTTTATGCCTTTCTAATGAAAGTTTTGTATCTAGAACAGAGTGCTTCTTACTGATAAATTGGGAGTAAAAAGTCTGCTCTCCAGAAACTTGGCTAACTGTGTATTTAGGATGATTATACCTTCCTAAAAGTAATGTGTTAGGAATTGACAACTGCTGTCGAGCATGTGCTTTACATTGTGTTAAGCTCTTAAGATGCATTAAATATTATTATTATGTTGGACAAGAAACCAACATGTAGTTGGTTATTTTATTTGCTCTTTTGGCTCTTTTGGGGTCCTGCCACCCAGTTTTGAAATATTTCTAGCCAGCTTTTCTTAACTTAAATTATCCCATCTGCTTTTTGTCTTTGCACTTTTACCTTTCTCTATTTCTGTGTATCTTTTTTTTTTTACTCTTACTCCATGGCTAGCTTTATAGCTGGGTGACTGGTCCCTGATGTCCTCCTCTCCTTGTTATCTTGCTCCTCATCTTCCTCCTTTCTCCCTCTATTTATTTTACCTATTGCCTACCCTGCCTGTTCTTCCTCCTGACTTGCTATTGGCCGTTCAGCTCTTTATTAGACCAATCAGGTGTTCTGTCTCGAAAAACCAAAAAAAAAAAAAAAAAAAAAAAGACAGGCAGTGCAACACAGCTTCACAGAGTTAAACAAATGTAACATAAAAGAATGAAGTACATCTTCGCATCATTAAAACAAATGTTACAACAGTATAAACAAATATAACACATCTTAAAATAATATTCTACAACACTAACATGTACAGTTACTTAGCTTGTGCTGAAATCGAATTCCTGATTTGAGAAAAATTTTGTTGTAAAATTCAACTGATAGTATAATGTCATTCTTTAAGCAAGCAGTGGAATGTATGAGCAAATTTAGACAATAATGTAATTTTCAGTAATAATACCCTCATTCTTTAAATTAATTAATTTTAAATTAACTTTAAAATTAATTTTTAAAAATTAAAATTTCCTAAATTTAAAAATTAATTTTTCTTAAATTTTAAGTTCAGAAATTGTTTATTAACCATAAAAGTCATCACCATGTGGTGGTGGCACATGCCTTTAATCCCAGCACTTGGGGGCAGAGGCTGGTGAATCTCTGAGTTCTAGGCCAGCTTGGTTAGCATAGGACAGGGACAGCCAGGGCTGTCTCAACACCCCCCACCCCCCCACCCCCCGTCCCTCTAACAATTAATAAAGTAGGAAGAAGGTAGGTATGGTGGCACATGCCGTAAATCCCTGGTCTGGGGAGGCTGAGACAGCTGTAGGATCTCTGTGTGTTTAAGGCCGTGTGGTCTGCCTAGAAAGTTCCAGGCCAGCTAAAGACTGTGCAGTTGAGACTCCGGTCTGAAAAGTTTTTTGTTTGTTTTAACAACAGGTTGGTGAGTTACTAATGGTTTGTTTGTTTGTTTATGGAAGCACTGGCTAGGCGTGATCAACTGTCACACTAGTGAGGTTAGGGACTCTGTCTTGTCACTGTATATTCACTGCCAGCACAGTGCTTTTAACATAGCATGAAGTATTGTCTTTTAAAAGTGGTGAGCACTGAGTTTGTTTCTATGGGAACTGTATCATGTGTCACTGTACATGCCCTTCCAGTGCTTACAGTTAAGCTGTAATACAAATCATTTCATTGTAAAGTTTTGTATCACACTGGAAGAGAGTAGAGAGAAATTAAGCTGTACTTTGGAGTAAGAAGAAAAGTAGCTCTACATCATTTGCAGAAAGGGGAGTAAATACATATTTAAGGGATAAATCCAATAGAAATAAGAGGCTTGTGTTTGTGTCGCAGTTGGTGGGGGGTGGGGAGGGTGAGTACCAGGATTAAGAAATAGGACATTCTGGACTTAGTCTTGATAATTTATCATTTCACAATTTCATAGAAAAAAAGAGTTGCCTCATTCAGTCTATAGTAACAGTACTGTCTTATGTTCTAAAGAACACCTTAGGTACTCTGGTTTAATCCAGGCAGGACAGTTGCTGTTGTTGTTAGTATTGTTATTTTATTTGATTTTGTTTGTCTTAGCCAAGGAGCTCTTAGAACTGGAGATCCTCTTGTTTAAGTGCTAGGGTGTGCCACCATGCCTGTCTTAATACTCAGACTCTGATCCATTACTTTCTGTAAATAAACTTTTAGGTTATGAGTGCTTAGGTAGCTTTGTGCCCCTACTCCCAACTTTATTTTATGTGTGTCAGTGTTTTGTCTGTATGTTGGTGTGTGTATGGATGTGTGTGTTTGTATGTGTGTATACCACATGCATGTTTATGCCCACAGAAGACAGAAGAGGGCATAGGACGCCCTGGAACTACAGTTAGAGAAAGTTGTAAGCTGTTATAATACTAGTGCTTGGAACTGTGCTCAAGTTCGCTCTGTAAGGACAGTGAGTGTTCTTAACTCTAGCTCTGGAACCTGACCTTTTGAAACATTGAATATTAGTGTTTAGAAAATCCAAACCTTGTACTTTTCTTCTTATGACATTTTATGGTCTCATGATTTAGGGTGCTGGATAGATGATCTACTCAGTAAATCAAGTATTTACTTGGAACTCTAAGGAAGAGTTCAGATAACTATAATGCTAAGTAAAGAAGCATGTGGTAGCGTGCATCTGTAATTCCAGTTCACCTTTGGCAGGGTGGGAGGAAAACCAGAATCCCCAGTTTTCATGCCAGATAACCTCGTCTACACAGCAGTGGAAAAGTAGGGACCCTGCCTGAATCAAGATGGAAGGTTATTCCGTGACCTTCACACATGTGCCTTTACTCACATACACACATCATATATACACATTGAAAAGGAAAAGAATACAGGTGAGATCATTTAGCAGATAAAGATGCTTGTCACGCAAGCCTGGTAAACCTATATTTGATCCTGGCACTAATGCAGAGGTGGGTAAAGAACTCCACAAAATGGTCCTGCATCCTCACATAAAAACGGCATGGTGCGTCCACACCTAAATGTAGCAAGGGGTTGATGGTTTAGCATTGTTTGATGGAGCATGTCGTGTTGTTTTCAAAATAAAGTCAAGAGAAAGGCAAGTTCTTGAAATTGACCACTCAGGAGTGAAGGCCCCCACCCACTTTAGTTTCTATCAAAATAAAAGATTGCCAGTGATCAGAGATTTCTTTCTAAATTGTTCTTTATATCATGCTTGACGAAAAGCTAAGAAGCTTATTTTTAGCATACTTTCAGGTTACAGACTTAGCACTGTGGAGAAGTTAAGATGGAAGCTTTTTGATCTCTAGTTAGAGCAGAGGAAAATGAATGTATACTTGGTGCTTATGTTTAGCTTGGTGTCTCTACCTCACACACAGTGATATTCAAAGTGAACTGGGTCTTCTCACATGACTTAGACAATCCCACAGGCCTACCAAATACAGACAGTCCTATTGAGATTCTTTCTGGGTGTTTCTAACTTATGTCAGTTGGGCATAACAAAGCCATTACTTTTCAGATACTTGCTATGAACATTGATGTGTAAACCCTACCTTTTTCTTATTCCTTATACATACACATATGTATTCTTGAACTAGCCTGTTGATATTTGTGAGAATTAGGTTTAGCAAATACTATTTTATAATTTTTGTTCTTGCAGGTCTGTTTTGTCTTCTCAAATGGACTTTGTCATGAATTTCCCCCAGTTTTCTGGCCTGTTTCTTTTCTGTCACTAGCAGTTTCTTTGCTAATTCCCCTTTCCCCCTTATCCACAGAAATTTCCATGCAGTATCGGCATGATGGAGCTTGTCCAACAACTAGTAAGTTGTCCAACTGGGTTAGTAACCTGGGCTTTCTGACTCTTAGTTCAGTGCCTTGTATAATATACCGCCTTTGAGGATCTAAATATTATTTTTCAAAGTGCATTAGGTTTTTATTGTGTAGATATTTTTGTCTTACGAAGATGCCTTTGTATACTTTGTCTTGTGTTCAGGATCTATATTATAGCCAAATATTGCAAACTTTAATTATTATTGGTCTTTTACTATAGTATTTATGTTGCAAAACTGTGACTTCTGCCCTTGGTGAGAATGTTATTTTCAGTATTTGGGTGCCATTAGCCTTAATGTAGATATGTTTTCATTATTTGTATATTAGTATTAGGTAGCTTTATGTTTTGACTTCTGTATGTGTTGAAACTTACAGTGAAGTTTAAGAAGTGAAAATAAATGTTTGGTAGGGTTCGAAGATGGAATGAGATTTTGTTTTACATCTTGTTGATTATCCTGTAAGTCTGATTGTTGCACCCTGTAATACTCAATTTTAGTGTAATACTATATAGATGAATAAAGATAATATGTAGATGTCTTTTTTAAAGGAATTCTCCAAAAATATTAAAGAAAGGGTCACCATTGTGACAGTACACCTACCTATTATCTCAGGTTACTAGGCAGTATACTACTGAATGAAATGTAGCATTTAGGGAGTTATGCTTTGGAAAAAGAATAAAACTTTCAGTTTTAATAATTCAAGCAAAGATACCGAGATTTTGTTAAACTGAGTTTATGCCTATGTATTTCTTTTGTGTGTTTGAGAATGATCTTAACCTGACGTCCTTTTTTCCTTACTTAAAAGCTTTCTCAGAGTTGCTGAATGCAATACACAATGGTAAGTTTTGTTAGAATCTTCTCTGGAAGTTCATTTATCACAAAAGTTGTCTTTTGTCAAGAAGCCCAATTGAAAGTTAGGACAGTCTGATGAGTAGATCAGGTCTAGTGTTCCAGTGAGCTTGTTAATTGTTTGGTAAAACATGGTAGACTTGTCTACAGAAGGAGGGATAGATAGGTTAGTTAAGATCTTCAGTCTGGCTTTTATTGTCTCTTCTAAGTTTCTGAAAGTTTTCTGTTTGCAAATAGTCTGCTTCCGTGATCTTTCTTACTAATGCATTTGTAATTAGTATATACAAGAGGATTTTTTTGCTTTTAACTTCAATTTGGAATGTGATTTTTGTTTTTTCAGATCTTTAATACTCTTATATTTTCATGTAGTAAATAAGTGGAAGATAGTATTTCAAATTGTGGACTATTTTCACAATGGGATCGCATCTTCTGCCGCTTTGAATTCTAAGTCAGCATATAAGGCAAATTCTGTCACTTTTCACTTGAACAGTGTAATTATCGTGATGGTCATTATTGCAGAATGTCTGAGGATTTCTTCAGTTTCCCCAAGAACTTTCTGTAATCCTTTTGTATTCAAAAATTTTTAAATTGTGTGTGTGTTCTGAAGAATCTATTTTCTTCTTGTGCTACAAGTTCCCTAGATTGAATCAGGTTGTTAGGTTTGGTGGTGAGTGTTTTTACCTGCTAAGTCATCTTGCTGGCCCTGAAAATTTCTCTAATACGATGTCATCTTTATTTTTCAGTTATTAATTGAGCTCATTTACTTGAGACTATGATTTCAAGCAATTTTCTAGTACATTTTCTTTAACTTGGAATTTGTTGATGTAACAGATTGGCATTATGTAAAGGGTATAATGTCGGATGTTTATAGAATACAGTCAACTAGAGACAAGTGGCATAATGAGCAGATGTAAGTGAGCCTCATTGCTTTGAGGGTAGAGGTGGTTGATGTGGAAACTCAGAAGTGTTGCTTATGAACAAAAGTGTTTTATTTACAGGGTTGTGCAGTGCTGGGGACTGACCCAGAGCCTTGTGCTTGTAGAGAAGTCTTCTGCCGTGGGATTGTATTTGCTCTTAGTTTAACTTTGACTTTCCTACTAAGCCTGTATATGTGCTGATATAGGAGTGAACAACTGTAGACAATAGCAATAGTAATGATAGGGGAAAGGATGGAAAGCTTTTCTTGAGAAGAAGTTCAGTGTTTAAACACTTGACAGGTTTTTGGGGGACATAGGGGAGTATAAAAGCTGAAGAGCCTTAGCAGTTTTTTCAGTTTGCACAGTTGTATTTATACATGTTCATTACTTGCTGGAATATTAAAAATTTAAGCCCAGCTATACTTCATAAAGTAGACATCACTGGGAGTAATTTTGATGAGCTGTCAAAAAGATCTTTGATTCCACTGTGCACTGAGGAAACACCGGGGTGAAAAGTTTTTTTGTTCCTCAGCAGGTAAATAAATGTCATCAGGTTATTATAAATGTGAACTTTCTTTAACATTTGGGGTTTTAGTAGTTTGAGGGTTCGAGAAAATTCTTGCTTGTGTTTTCTTCACCCTGCATTACAAAGAAAAGAAGTGAATGGCCCTTTTTTTGGGGGAGGGGTTATAAAGGCAAATGAAGGGTTGATTTCCTATAAATGATATTTTGTCTGATTTTTCCTTTTTTCCAAATACAGATTTTTTTTTTCTCTCTTAAAAATGTTCTTTAAGCCTTACAGTTTTTTTTTTTAAAGTGCCTATCAGCCAGGCGATGGTGGCGCACGCCTTTAATCCCAGCACTCGGGAGGCAGAGGCAGGCAGATCTCTGTGAGTTCGAGACCAGCCTGGTCTACAGAGCTAGTTCCAGGACAGGCTCCAATGCCACAGAGAAACCCTGTCTCGAAAAACAATAATAATAATAATAATAATAATAATAATAATAATAATAATAATGTGCCTATCAATGGAGTGACTTGAAGTTTTGGTTTTTGTGTATTAAGTACTTAGCATATAACTATTCATAGTATTTTTCTACACAACCCCTTTTGATTGTTCCCCCTCTTTATACATATTTCTTTCTTCCTATCTATCTTATCTATCTATCTCTATCTATCTATCTATCTATCTATCTATCTATCTATCTATCTATCTATCTATGAGCAGGGTCTCATGTAGTCTACGTAGCTAAGAATGATCTTGATACTATAATCCTGCTTCTATCTTCCAAATTCTGGAATTAAAGTTATGGGGCTGTTTACCTTTTTTGTTTCATTATTCCTAATGTTTATTATTTCCTTCTTTATGTGTTCTTTTTGGGGGTGGGTATTTCGAGACAGATTTTTTTCTGTGTAACAGCCCTAGCTGTCCTGGAACTCAATTTTTAGACCAGGCTGGAAAAAAAAAAACCCAAAACAAACAACAGCAGCAAAATATAAATAAAAAAGAAAGAAAAAACCAGGCTGGCCTCACTCAGAGATCTGCCTGCCTCTTCCTCCCGAGTGCTGGGATTAAAGGCATGTACTACCACTGCCTGGCTGCTTCCTTCTTTATGCTGCCTTCTGCACATGTCTTATTGTGTAAGGTGTATTAAATAAAAAAAATTTTTAGCTCACAGTTTTCTAGATAGGTAGGGAGTGAACATGGGTGTTCTGATTTACTGTAGCACGAATATTAAAAACCCAGAGTCAGTTATTGGGGTCAGTCAGAAAAGCAATGCTTCCAAGCCACTAGAGAAGTCTTACCTCTACGAAAGCTGACTGGCTGACCACAGACTAAGCCTCCTAACCAGACTAAGCTGCCCGAGCCTCTCTCCCCTCCCATTTTATATTCCCTCTTGTGCTGGTATTAAAGGTGCAACTCCCTAGTATTGGAATTAAAGGTGAGAGCCACGACCACCTTTCTACATTAATCTTGTGTAGCCCAGAATGGCATTGAACTCACAGAGATCTATCTGCCTCTGTCTCCCAAATCCTGGGATTAAGGTGTATGGTATGCCACCACTGTCTGACCTCTAATGGCTTAGCTTTCTTCTTCTGATAGTCAGGCAAGCTTTAATTATTAAAGCATAAATAAAATATTGTATAATTTACAGAATGGAATCAGCACCTAAACTCCTCTCGTTTTCACATGGACAACGTATCATCAGTACAAGAATCTGTAAAACACAGAACCGTCTTCCTCAAGATTCTTAGCTCTCCTTCCTCCATTTGATAAATGCACATTAAGTTCTTTCCATGTAGAAGATTATTGTTAGTTGTGTTGGGAAAATGCATAGTATAAATGGATCCTGCCTTTAGGGAATATACTCTAAACAAGAGGTAAATATGTTTATTAATAACATTTTCAAGAAATACAGTTAAAATTTTATGATTTGCAATACAGAAGAGTTTTAATGGAAAATTGCCTTTGAAGGAAAAACATGTACTGAGAATGTAGCATTGGACCTGTTTGCTTGAGAGTGTATAGGGGCCAGCTATCTGGTCTAGGCATCAGGGTCTGATCAGCACAAGTAGTTTGTCCCACCAGAGTGTTACTTTCCTGTTGGCTTTGATAAAACCCCATAACCAAAAGCAGCTTAGGGGAGGAAGGAAATGCTTACTTCAGCTTAGGAGAACTTAGTCACACGCCATCATCCAGGAAAGTCAGAGTTGGCACTCAGGACTGGAATTTTGAGGCAAGAACTGATGCAGAGACCATGAAGAAGCACTACTTACTGGCTTGCTCAGCCTACTTTTTATAGTACCTAGGACTATCAGTCAGGGATACCACCACCTGCAGTGAGCTGGACCTTTCCACATTAATTGTCAAGGCTTGCCCATAGGCCAGTCGGGTAGGAGCATTTTCTCAAATGAAGTTTTCTCTGCTCAGATGACTCTAGTTTTATTCAAGTTGACAAGCTAACCAGCACACAGTCTGTGCAAGGTGACACTAATAACTGATACTTGATTCAGAACAAATAAAATAATAACCTTAGCTTTTAGGTTAGTAAGACCAAAGTAGTTGGTGTTTTGAATTGGGAAAAGCATATAGTACACCTATTATCTAGGGAGGTACATTGGATGATTGCATGTAAGACTTGAAAAAGTTAGTACTGAGACTGACACCAAATAGAACTTTGTTATAATATTATGGGGACCTAAAGAGGAATGTGATAGTCAGCATACTCCCTCACTGGAAGACCAGTTCCAGGGTAGGAGCATGAGGGTTAGAATTATTAAGCAGAAGGAGCAGAGATTTAAGAGAAATAAGAGACAGAACACCATCAGGAGGGAAATTCAGTGAATACTGAACCCTGAATCCTTCCTCATTTACTTTCTACATGCTTATATACTTCACTCCAAAGGGGAGGAGGAGGCAACAGACTACATTAACATGATATAAGAAAGTAGATTTGAATTCTCCAACCTTTGGTCCAGGTGGAACAGTCTTCCTCTATATCCAAAATACTAATTAACCACAACCTAGGTCAGAATCTCTTGTTTGTAGACATACCTCTTGTCACTAACTTTGAAAGAGCAAAAATAAGCTTACACTCCACCCCCGAAAAGAGAGAAACTTGAGGTTTTTAGTGAATTAAGTAGCAGTGTCTAGGGGATGGAAGGCACTAATTTACCAGTGTTTGGTCCATACAAAACAGTAACACTTGGGCACAAAAGAATTGCAGTTAGTTCATATAGGGAACTCTCAGTTGTGATTGAGAAGTGCTGGTAGAGAAGACAAAGACACTGGATTAATTTTTATTTTACTTGCTTTGGACTTGCTTGTTTGTTTGTCTTTGTTTTTAGAGAGAAGAATTACCTGTTTCCCAGGCTGGTCTTGGATTCCTAGGCTCTAGTTAATTCTACCTTAGGCTCCCGAGTGCTGGGACTACAGTTTTGTGCCCTACTGTGGTCTTTGGTGTCTAGTTCGTGTTAACAGTGGTGACATCCTAGTACTGAAAGGGAAACTTGTAGAGAAAAGAGAAGGATAAAGGTTTAAGGCAGGCTGTTTGATGAGAAGAGAGGCAAGTA